TTTATCCCACCGGTAATCAACACGATGCTGTCGGTTCTATCAATCCACCTTCTTATGGAGTTAACCCCACGAATGACGATAATCAGAACAACGCTTTTTTAAATTCTCCGGTACCGACTACTTCTCAGCCTGTTCCACCAAGTGATTTTCAATCTGACTTCCAAGATCCCGTTAGATCGATGGTTATTGCCCTACCAGGCCCTGGAGTTAATATTCCAAAGAATCCTGGAAGTTGTGCCCCACTTGACGTTAACCAAGAAATTGGAGGGCTCGATACAACATCCTCGATAACGGAAAACAGCGATTTAGAATGGGTAGATCAGAGAAACAAGGAAATGCAATACCACTCAATATCTCTTAATAGTATTTCTGTTTCCTCGGATTGAAAGTGGAAAGGCAGTGACGATTAATCGTGACATATTTTGTGTTTTTGACTATCGGTCGATTATCTCCTCGTTGTTAAATATTTATTCGAATTTGGTGTTTTTTATTTGATTTAAAAGTTGACAAAGCCAGTTGCATTTTGTGTGGTTAATAGAGATCTGTGAATAATTATATTTTGTTCTGCATGTTTTTGTTATTTCGTTACGTGAGTGTCATTGGGGTTGCGATTACGCTCACATGTGAGGGATTTTATCTTTATTAAAATAATTTGGTTTAAATCTAATAAATTTTGACTTATAATGTCATTTTTTGAACGTGAAGACATCTGACTGTGAACTGATTGGAATATTTATTTAGAAAATAAATTGAATGACAGAATAGGAAGGTGGAAATTAAACAAACTAAAAATAAATTTACCAGAAAGGGAATTTCACTGAGCAACCTCTTATGGAGCGTAAAATTGCGAGATTAGAAAATACGATTGTAGGAACGGTATTCAATTGCACAAGAAATCAGTGAAGTTTGTCACGTGAGCTGAAAAGTGTGAATGGTGTACTTATTTCTAAGGGAAAAACAATCGATTCGACTTCAAGAACGGGCCAATAAATAAATGAATATATATATATGTTTCAACATCAATATTAATCATCAACAGAAAAATTTTGATTGCGTTCTATCTAACGCTTTACTTCCCTATTTCATTATTATGATATAAATAAAAACTTTGTCTGGCAAGTGCCGATACAGTAAGAGTAAAGGTAATTCTCATTTTAACAAATAAAATAACAAAAAATGTAAATAAAATATATAAAATTCCAAATTTTGCCCACTGCATTAATTTTCACTATAATGACATTTTTATTTAACTACAACTAATACACGTATATGAAAAATTCATTCGAGCCAATCGGCTAGGAGCGTTTAACATATGGATCCGCTGCAGCCTCCTTTAATATCAAAGTATGAATGGGAATATAAAAATGACATTAATCAACAAATGCGAGTTCCTGATAAACTCTCAGTGGCAACATCTCTCCCCAATCTAGATTTATCAAAACACAACGGTAATGACGTTGACTGCAAAGAAAATGGTATGTCAATATGAATATATTATCTAGTGTTTGTTGATCTAGATGTTGCATCGACAGGACATCGTCAAACAACCCCAGGTTATAGTCCTGATTTACTGACAGATAATGAAGCACAATCAGATGTGTGAGTAATTTTATGTGATTAGCTGCATAATCCGTGTTAATGCATTCTTTTCTGAAGCAAGTGAGTATAATTGAAATCTCGTAAAATGCTATTTTATTATCCCTAATCTGTATTATTTTTGTTTATGGTTTGTTTTATCCTGATAATTTATATTTTGGGGCTTTTATGTATTTCTTAACTGGTCTCACTATAATATTCTTCTCAATAGAACATTTGCTGAAGAGATGCGAATATAGATAATAGTTTAAAGGTATGACCAAAGTTGGCGTTGAGTACTCTTCGTCCATACCGCATTTATCGCTTGAGTATTTTGGAGACATTTGTTCGGATAAATCTCAACCTGACTAAAGCTTGATCTTTGACTGGTGCTTTTGCCTTAGTAGCGCAAAAGCTAGAAGCATGGTTCACATAAACATGTTGTTTGTATATTAGAACTCGGTTTCAATTAGCTGAAATATGTTTATTTTTTATTCGAAATGATCCTTTATTTTATGTATTTCGCAATTCATTCTACCTCGCTTTATTCTAATTGAAAGCTTATCGCTCGAAATGTCGATATCATCTTAATATTTGGTCCAAGCTACTCAAGCTTGTTAAGTGGATGTGGGTAAGGCAATTGAATCCTAGACTCCGTCTTACAAGAAACGCGTTTTCATTAGTTGACCAAAATTGGCTGGTTCCACTGGTCATCATTTTCCTCCTGTCCTTTTATTTGACTCCGGTCACAGTACGGTCTCCTACGTTGGTATGATGTTTTTTGACCTTTAACAGTAATTGAATTGCTAGATACGATCATCGGATTATGCAGGGTGTGCGATAGACTTACCTCCACGTGGTGCACTCTGGAAATATGCCTTCACTATCAACATCTTATTTGGAAGCGGAGGGGTGTGTGCGATAGACTTACCTCCACGTGGTGCACCCTGGACAGCGTGCGATAGACTTACCTCCACGTGGTGCACCCTGGGCAACTTTCAACCCTTGCTGGTTTTCTAAACAATTATTCTTAAGAATACGATAGACTTACCTCCACGTGGTGCACCCTGGACAACGTACTTTCAAATGGCAGGCGTTATGATAGGTATCATGGGGTGTGCAATAGACTTACCTCCGTGGTGCACCCTGGGCAATGTATATTTAGACTTACCTCCACGTGGTGCACCCTGGGCACCGTATACTCATACGGCAAAAAAGTCTATTAACCGGCAGTTGTTGCGATAGACTTACCTCCACGCGGTGCACCCTGGGCAACCCACTCATACGGCAAAAAAGTCTATTAACCGGCAGTTGACTTATCACTTCTCATACGGCAAAAAAGTCTATTAATCGGCAGTTGACATCTTGACTTCTGACTTCAAACTACCATGACCCCACTGTATGTTACAAAGTATACTCATACGGCAAAAAGTCTATAAACCGGCAGTGGACTTCTGACTTCAAACTACCCTCACCCCACTATATGTCACAACTTCTCACTTCAAACTACCATCACCCCACTGTATGTCATTGTGTATGCGCATACGGCAAAAAAGTCTATAAACCGGCAGTTGATCTAACCCTAACACGGCAAAAAGTCTATAAACCGGCAGTTGACCTCTGACTTCAAACTACCATGACCCCACTGTATGTCATATTTGGGCAACAGACCTCATACGGCAAAAAGTCTATAAACCGCTGGGCAACGTATACTCATACGGCAAAAAAGTCTATTAACTAGTGAGATGGGTGTGCGATAGACTTACCTCCACGTGGTGCACTATGGGCAACGTATACTCATACGGCAAAAAAGTCTATTAATCTGCAGTTGACTTCTGACTTCAAACTACCGAGACCCCACCGCATTTCATATTCCACTAATTAAACAGTACTCACCTTTTTTCTACCTTTATGTCTGTCTCTTTTACGTCTGTGAATCATTATTCTGTCATCTGTCTGCCTCTTTTACATCCGTGAATCGCTCTTCTGTTTCCCTGTCTGCCTCTTTTACATCTGTGAAACGCTCTTCTGTTCTGTCTGCCTCTTTTACATCTGTGAATCGCTCTTCTGATCCCAACCCTTCCACAGTATTCAACTCACCTTTTTTCTACCTTTGTGTCTGCTCTGTCTCTTTTACGTCTGTGAATCATTATTCTGTCCCCCCTCCCCTTCTCTTTTACGTCTGTGAATCATTATTCTGTCCCCCATCTTGCTCTTTTACGTCTGTGAATCATTATTCTGTCCCCCTCTCGGTACGTCTGTGAATCATTATTCTGTCCCCCTCTCGACTTTTAACGTCTGTGAATCATTATTCTGTCCCCCTCTCGACTTTTTTTCACTTTGGTGTTCCTCTTTCTTTCTGTGAAGCCCGAAGTCAACTAATGGGCTAATGATACCTATCATAACGCCTGCCATTTGAAATAAATAAATAAATCATCGGATTATGCAGATGAGGTTTACTTATTATCTTTATCGCTTCAACTCCTTCATTTAAAACAACAGGTTCTCTACTGAGAACCATTTAAAATCGCTAAGCGCGATTATTTTTTTCCTTTATAATCTGATATTTCGTCTTGCATTTACCTTCTTCCAGCTAGTATTTTCCTCCATAAGATATGCGCCCACTTTGATTGTTTAACACGAATATGATTACGCAAAAGCTAAAAACGAAAATGTAATTACATATGCCTTATTTTGTCGTATTGTAGATATTTCACTTCAAGTAGTCATAAAGATCCACCAATTATCATTTTGGTGGTGCGTAAACTTGTTAAAACTAAAAGACATTTTTCTGTTATTTTCAAGATTTATCAAGTATAATCACCCGTCCTCAGCTATCAAAAGTTGTACAAAATTCATTTAGATTGAAGGAAGATGTACACCTTTCAATTCAACGGTTATTAAATGTTTCGATTTCGTTTCGAAACGCATGGTTACTGCTTGTTTAGTGAAGATGGAACTGGTCCCGTGTTTTCAATTTTAATTTTACAAAGTAGTTTAAATTTTTATTGCAAGGCTTCATTTTTTATAATATCCGATTAAGTGTAGCTGGCAAATCATGATGTTTGTGTGTAAAATTTCGAAAAGATTGGTTTCATTATTGTGGGGAACAACTGAAGTCGGAGGGGTGGGGGGGGGGGGAAGGGGTAATACCTGACAAGTTATATCAGAGTCTTACTTCATTCAAATTTGTTATTATTCTCCGCCTGGATTACATTAGGTGTTTGTCGACGAAGTTCGGTATGTTTTGTTTCATTTTTTTATTTCGATGGCCGGTCTTCATTCTTTCTTCAAACAAGCAAGAACGCATTCCCACCATTAATTGATTTTGACAAAAGCCGAAGAATTGGGTTCTTCGAGAGTTTGTTTATTTTTCGCCAATTTTGAAGAGATTTTTTGAACATACTCGCTCACAATTTTGCGTTATCATTGCGAATACCACTAAGCGACAACTGGGCTCTGAAAGTCCTTCGACTTGGTATTGATTGCCAATTAAGTGGATGATCGTATTTGAGTCTTTTTTTGTGGAGATTATCGCGCGCGTGTTTTCTCTCTCATCCCATAGTTTGCAACTAAATGGTCAATTCAAATTGCTGTAATATGCCAGTATTCAGATACTATTGCTTTATATATTTTACTGTACATCCCACCATTCATCTACAGTGATATTATTATGATATTATTATTATTATTATGAAATAAGTTATTTATCTTTCCTCTTTTTCTAAGAAAAATAATCACGATAGGAACACATGAATACGACTTTACTTGGAATTCGAATCATGCATACGCAGTCACGGTTATGTCAGTCTGAGCGCGTGCCACTTGTCATTGTTAATGGACACATGAGAAAGATGCTTGTTTCTGCAGCTAAAAATCTTATTGTACGCCGCGTTAAGTGTAGAAACCCAATTCTCATATAAATAATTAATTTCGATCTATGCTAAGTGCTCGTGCTTATTACGAAACTGTCTTGATTTCAGAATTGCTCTTGTTAGTTTACTTGATTAATGATGTGTCTTGATCTTCACTTTCTCCATCCTTATTGCTTTTCTACGGTAAAAGTGTCGACGATTGTAAACTAGTCAGCGAGGAGATAAGGCCGATGGGAAGAGGATGATATAGGTTTAAATAGTCCAAGTTCTCCTTGATCATATTTTACTGTAGCCTTCCAGTGGCCGATCGATTTGCACCCCCCCCCCCCCCCTCCAATGCTTCAACTGCCCTGCTCGTGTCCTTAATAGTAGTAACCACTAACAAATCGATGTGAAGATCTATCCAGTCTGCGTCTTAAAAAACAATGATAATGGTGCAAAAAAGTCAGAGTTCTGTGGTCTCAGGGTGAATTAAGAAGTAAGTGATTGAAATGTGAGTAGATAGTGTGATGATCAGTAATTAGCATAGGAATGCATATCAATGCACGCCTGTATGGAGTTCTATCAATTGTTCCACCTTAAGAATGGGTGCTTCACTTCTCCTAGTCACTTACTCGCTCGATGTCATGTTAGTCTCCAAAGGCACACGCGTAGAGGTCTGACTTGAAACCTTCTACGCACTAGTGCTTGCCGCTTTGTGCAAAGAGATCCTCGTTGTGTCCTCTAACATTTATGCTCCTATGTGTTCAGTTGAAGTTGGTGGGTAATAGTGGTGCCAAAACACGTTGCTCTAGTTATTGTACGGTAAATGTAATTCTCACCTTGTTGTAGAATGACTTGTTGCGACCGACTTGATTGTTACAAATAGTATTAGCTTGGATATTAACTAGGTGGAATAAAATTTTTTGCTCTTAGCTTTCTTTGTTGATTTTCTCCGTATTAAACTCATCGGGTCCGTTTGGAAAGGCAGCGATGGAGGGGGGGGGGGCTTTCTGAAGCTTCGCTTATGAGAACACACATTCCTCCAGTCCCGTAGCTGGACGTGAATAAATCTTGTAAGTCTTAATTTGACGGGACTTACAGATTAGATATTCATTTT